TACAAAACTTCCTAGCTTTACTTAGAGAAGTCAGGATTGCTTACACGAGGGCTTGGCGCAAGAGCCACTGCTTGCAGGCAATGGGATCTTGGCTTGTTGCCAACACGTCATCCAGGTGGTGTCTCTTCTCCCGTTTGGCTCGTTTGATTTTTAGTCTGTCATACAGCCTGGCACCTGGGGATGCATAAACAAGGTCGAGTACCAGATGAAAAATTTTTTCTACTTCAAGAGGCTTGTGGGAGATTACAGATGAAAGCTTGAATTGATTTTAAATCTAAATCTTGCGAATGAATCCACTGTCCAATTTCGCATAATTCTATGAAAGACAGAGTTTTTCTTCACACTGGAAAATATTCTTTTGAATAAAACGAGACCAGGAAATTTCGCCCGATGATCAGTTGAAGAATTGTTTAACAACACTCTCGTTTCAATGTCATGCCAGTAAAGGTTAACCCCTGAACAGATATTTATGTCATGCCGACACAGATATTCTACCAAGTATCTTTACTGTAGCTAATGAACGCCGCTACACTTAAAACTCACTAGCTTGTCTGCAGATTAACGTTATTGCCTCACCTATCATGTTTTTTATCCCGTTGGAGCGATATTCCTGTAATCTGTCAATCTCTGTCTTCAAATCAAGTTCATCTGTAACAAATTAGACACAGTTTCCGATCATTTTCTTGAAAAGGTTTTAACAACAAAGCAATTAAGTTCATTAAAGTATTCCCTACCGAGAATGTAAGACAAAAAAGTTTCAATCAAATTCTCATTCCACTTTCTTCCTAGTTTTCCTAGTTTTCAATGAAGTGTATGATCTGGCCAGTGGCATTTCCTGGTTGTTCCCAGTTTATCAAGTGACTACACCAACAGTGCATTAATAGCCTACTTACATATCAACCCTTCCAGAAGCTTATCCTGTGCTAACGGTGTGTGTAGTCTGGCAAACGATTTGAGTTTGTTGATCAGGTTCCGGACTGTCTCTGTGTGCGTCCTCTCTTGCACTGTGAACAAAAAATGGCATAAACCAGACAACAAAAATGCTCTAAGTCAGGTCTTCATCAATATCCAACTAAATCACAAAATGAATCATTACAGAATTCAAGAAATTAGGGGTCCAAAAGTGTGACA